AGGGAGCTGGTTCGGGGTGGGTCCAGGGTGGGATGAAGGTGTAGGATGCAGGATTTGGTGAACTTGGCTTTGGGTGCCTGGCTCCCTGGGGTGCAGAGGGAGGTGCTGGATGGGAGACAGGGTAGCAAATAAAAGCAAACCCTTTGGCTGTCATAAGTGCTGGGACTCTGGGTGCTGAATTTGAAGGGGTTGCAAGTATTCAGCCCACTGCAGCATGGCCTGCAGGGATGCTCCGGGGCAGCTCCAGCTTTCTCCAGTCCGGTCCCACTGGCTGGACCTGTCCTGCCTCCTTCCCTTCCCTCTAATGCATGAAGAAATACCTCATTGGCATCCTGCCCTGTGACTGGCATCAGGTGGTGTGCGGGTTAAGCTCCCTGTACGCTAATTAAACACATTTAAAGAGGGGCTCTGAGCTGTGACAGTGCTTGTGCTCCTGCCACTCGGGGTGCTGCAGGCCTGGCCCTCGCATGCCCACAGCAGGGATGAATGGGGGATTTGCAAATGCAGGAGGGAGGACAGGGAGTTTTCAGGTTGCAGCTTGGTTTCAGGTGGTTATGGCCGTATTACCAAGTGACCCCTCCACTGCCTGCTGTATTTGCTCATGCCACGAGAATGTGTTAGTATGACCTCGCAGGATTCACCCTGGGGAGGAGAGGAGAAGCCCTCCGCCCCACTGCCTTCCCTCTGCTCCCCATCCTCTCCCGGCCACAGGCTGAAATCCGGTGACTATAAAGGGGAGAAAAAAGGTCTTGGCAAGATCAGAGGATAAAAGTTGCTGTGCCGGGGACCTGAAAAGAGGTCCAGTTAAATTGGTGTGGGAAGATTAATGGTGGTTTTTCTTTTCTTTTTGTCTTTAAAGCTAGTGGAGGCAGGGGGGACGCAAGTTTGCTTTTCACACTATGTGTGTCTGGGGCTCGGCCAGCCTCGCTGCTGGCCGCTCTTAGCTCCGGGACTGCCTTCCTATGCTCACCTCCCCTTCCCTGGCTACAGCTAAAAGGTTTGGAGGGAGAAAAAAAAAATAAAATAAATGAAGGCCTCTGGGGAAGCCTCAGTGCACGCTGTGGCAGTGAGGGGCGGCTTTGGAGTGGTGGAGCAGGAGGAAGCACACAGCAGCATCCTCAGCTTTCCTGGTCCCCACCGGGTCACTCCTCCGCCCCACTGCCTTGCTGATCCTGGTAGTGCTGTGGGGTTTTCCACAGCCACCCTGATCTTGGTCCCTTTTGAAGAAGTGCTTTGCAGCCCTTGACCTTCCTGTTCTCCGTCTTGGTGGCATCTTGCTTCAGCTGGATTCCCATCTTCTCCTTGGTGAGAATAACCTTGTCCCTGGTGTCGCGTGCCCCGTTTCATTGCCCTGGGACATCCGAGGTCACCCGTGAGCACCTCCCTGCTGTGCGCAGGCATTTTAATCTTTGCACTTCTTTTTTTTTTTTTTAAAAACTTTTCCATAAATACCAGCAAGGACAGCATCTTCAGGAGCTCAGTCCCTATCCTTGCCATCGTGTATACCCCTGGAGCTGTTGCTGCAGCCTGCCCTGGTGTCCTAGTAGTCAGCATGTGCTGCAGGGTGCTAAGTCTCGCTCCCCAGGGGTCTGCAGCGGATTTGGGCTTACCTCTCCTTCCTGTGCAACGGGCCAGGGCCAGCCCAGCACTTTGGCCAGAGGCAAAGTCCTCCCCAGGAGCATCAAGGTGATGCTTTGCACGCAGGAGGAGCGTCCATCCACCACGCGCCATTCGGGGGCTGCTTTTCCCCTGGTTTTCCCCGCGCCACCGACAGCAGAGCTGGCCTCGCCTCTGTTCAACCAGAACAAGAGGCAAATTAACCTGACCTAGATCTGGAGAAGCTAGAGAGACCGACAGTTTTGTGTACCCTCAAAGTCCATGCTCTGGAGGCAATACAGGGAGAAATCTTGCCTATTCCCAGGGAGGAGAATTAGCTGCTTATTTATTTATAACAGCTTATTTATAACTGTCTGATAACCTGCTCCTCATCGCTGTGCTGTGCAAAGAGCTCGACCTCCTCCGTCCTGCTCTTCATCCCCGTGCTGGGAACAGCTTGCAACATTCGTCGGGTCTCCCCATCCATCACGATGCTTCTTTCCCTGCTCCTTCCAGTTCATGCTAAGCAGCCCCATGTTCACCTGGAGCAGGGGCACACTGCCCTACAGCTCATCACCACTGGGAAACCTTAATGGAAATCCCTTATGGGCCAGGAAAATGTCCTCGGTGGCTGCTCCTCCAAGGCTGGCCATCAGGATCGTGCCCTCGCCCAGCAACTGGGAATGGCTCCAGTCCCTGTGTTCCAGCGCTGTTGGGTCTGATGGTCGCTCGGCTCCTGACGGATGGGACCGGCTTGCTCCTGGCGCAGCCGGCCCGTTGCCATGGCAATGGCAGGATATTGCTTTCTTACAGCCTCCTCGCTTGCACAAAGCCAGCCAACGGCTCCAGCTTTGCTTAGTGCAGGGATGTGCAGCGCATACCAAGTACTTCTGGCTTTCCTCCGTCCCCGGCTGGGAACCCACTCCGGAGCATGCGGGGAAGAAGCAGCAGGAGCCAGAGCTCCCTGCCTCTTTCCCACGGCTGGAGAACCCCGGGTCTTCGCAGCCGCCTACTCCTCCTCTTCCTGCAGGTGCTCTGCAGCCGTCCCTCCTGCTTCTTATTTCCTCCATGTTTTCCAATTGCAAAATCTAGCCTACGCTCCTTTTTCCACCTCCTGCCTGTGACCTACACAGCTGGCTTGGGGTGACACCCCTTAACCTCTCCAAAGTTTGAGGTCCAGCCATGCCCTCGGTGGTGCCAATTGCTGCTCTGATCGGTCTGAGCCTGGCTGGAGCATCCCGAGCCCAAGCAACATCTCAGAGATGGGGCTCAGTACACAGCTCTGGGAGGATGGATCAAGGATCCAACCTCACAGGATAAGACATGGCTCTAAATGCTTTGGGAGGCAGCAGGGATGATTTTTGCCCAGCCTAGGGTCTTGGTTCTGTTTCCTGATGCTGCAGGAGCTGCTGGTGAAGTCTACGCTGGATGATAGCCCAAGCGTTCGGCTAGATGTGTGGGCTCTAGGGGGGATCGTGGCAGCAGTAAATGCAGCAGGGTGGCAGTCACAGGTGACTGGTTCATGCAGTACATCAGCTATGTGTTGATATGGCCTTGGCATGGTAGGATACGTCATCCTGGTTGTGTTAGCATGTGTGCTGGGTTCAGCAAAATCAGTAGCATGAAGAAGAGTCCTGTCTCTCACCCGCCTGCCGGCCGCAGTAGCCAAGCCCTGCATCTCTTTGCCAGTTTTAGCCAAAGACAATGAGATGTGGAAACCTCCGTGGGTGTTGTTTCCCCAGCTGTGAGAGCTTGAGACCCAAATTAGTTCCTTTCCCTTCTCGAAGGCTGCAAGTGAAGCTGAGCTGCGTGATTAGCCAACAGAGAATCTACATAGGGCTTCAGGAGACCAGGAGTCGTGAGCTCTGCTCAGGGGCATCCTCCACTTGAAACAAAACACCATCAACATTGCTTTATCTGAGCCACCGATGCTCAAAAGCCCTGCAAAACCAGCAGAGAGGGAGGAACCTTCTTCCTCTGCCAAGGACCGTAGCATCACTTCCCTGGAAAAGGATGAAAGCTGGCGATGGCAGTGATGTCCCATGATGGCAACGAGGTCCCATCCTTGACAGCATCACGGAGGTGCCATATTCTTCGGGGACAGCAGCATCATAGCTCCTCATTGCACAAGTTGTTGTTACGGTTTTTCATACCCAGGGGAGCCGCAGGCTGGGACTTAATCATGTTTATAGGCACAGGGTCCTCCCAAATGTGCTGGGGCCTCATGGTGCCCGTGGCAGGCTGCTTCCCCACAGCCAGCTCTGCACCAAAGCCTGGACACCTCGCTGCCCGCTCAAAGACTGCTGGGGGCTTAAAAATCAGCCCTAATTACAAAAATAAAAAAAAAAAAAACAAAAAAACAAACCAAAAAACCAAAACCAGCTCAAGATACAGAGAAACCCAGGGGTTCCTCTTTCTGATTTTCAGTGGTCGTATTTTCAAGTTCTGCATGATCAAAAAAGGACATAATTGGCTTTTATTTCTTTCTAATTTTTTTTTGGTAGCTCAGAAGCTAAAACTCCCATATAACTGTAGCTCCTCAAAAAGATGCCTTGTGAGAACACATGGAAAGCCTGGGATGCTATACTGGTGGGCAAGGGGTGATTGGGGATGTGCTATGCTGGATGCTGATGGGTTAGACGTGGCAATCGGCCCTTTTTGGCAGCTTTTCTGCTCCGCACAGCCCTGCTACACTCGGAGCATCAAGGACGGCTGACGAAACATCTAGACCCAAGGACATTTGAATGAAGGGGGACCTAAAATAGCCTGAGACATGAGAAGGGTTGAGGACGAAAAAAAACCCACCCTGTAATAACTTCTCCAGAAATGCTATATATAGAGTAATTCGGCAACTTCTGGAAGGCAAGAGCTATGAAATCCGAATGGCAGCTCTGCTTTGTCGTCCTGACTGCAGGTAGCCTGCTCTCAGATGCTACCCTGAATGAGGCGAGCTGGGGACACAGGGGGCCAGGCAGGCAGACTGATGTTTGCGCCCAGGAGCATCCCCATGCTCTTGCTGGGGTTGTCCCAAATCTGCAGTTAGGAAGGGGAGTTGGGAAGCAAAACCCAGACCTCCCCAAAGTGGGAAGAGGGAGAAGCAAGCCCTGCTCCTGGTTGCATAAATGAGATTTAATTTCACATGCTCCCTTGGGACTCGCAGAGCAGAAACTGTTTTTTTTCTCCCCTTTTCTTTTTCCTGCCCCATCTCCTCTGCAATCATGTGAAATTTCTACTTCGAACTTCATAGGTAGCCCTCTTTTCCCTACCCTGTTCTTGATGTGCTGGGATTTGGTGTTTGCTTCCCATCTGACCCTCTCTGGCCATGGGTTTGGAAAGGAAAGCTCACCCCACCAGCTGCCTCTGCCCCTGTGCATGCTCACCCCATGCCGTCCCTCTCTCCGCAGGTTATCCTGAAGGACCTGGAAGTGCTGGCCGAGATCGCTTCTTCTCCGGCAGGACAGACAGAGGGTCATGGTCCCTCCGACAGCTCCGATGTGCGACCTGGCCCGGTGGAGCTTCACGTCCCGGCCAGAGCCAGCCAGCTGAGCTCCTCCGGTGAGTGCCACAGCTCCACGACTCCCGGCTCCCTGATGCTCAGTGGCACCAGTCAGCTTTGCTCGGGCAGAAGGAGAAGCATCTCTCACAGTAATAAATCAATATATTCATCCCTACCCGGCATCACTTGGGGATTGAGTCTGCCATGGCACAGACCAGGGGACTGTCTTTTTTTTATTGCTTTTCTCTAGCTTGTGTTTTGGGGATTTAGGACACTGTTAAGCAGCAAGATGCTGCAGAGGCCAGTGTGGAGGGAGGTCATTATTGTCTGATTTTTTATGGGACCTTGGGTTCCAGCTTCTTCTCTCCTTGTAAAAGTTCTCAGAGCCTCTAAAAGCAGCTCAGGGATGGGATGCTGGCTGCAAGCCGGGGTGTCCAAAACACAGATGGATCTGCAGAGGGTTCAGTCTGTGCCCATGTTGCCTGCTGAAGGCTGCCCACATTGACTATGAACTGCTACGGTGCTCTGAGTGTCAGGTAGGACCTCAGAAGAGAGATGAATAGGGACAATCCTATTTTCTGGGGGCTTGGGGGATTAAAAAAAAAGCCTTTCATTAATCATCCTCGCACATCAGGAAGTTTTTTCCACCTTCCCTTGTCTGCAGCTCACCCTTTGCAGTTGCTTGGCTGCCCCTTCTCTTCCGCTGCTGCTATTTAAGGGCCTGCCTGTTGTACTCCCCAGGCCAGGTCGTCCCAGCCAAAAGCACGTTTCACAGCAGCTTTGGATTGCAACCCGAACATGGAGCCAAGGCTGCCTCTCCCTGCGCAGGATGCAGCCAGGGGCCTTGCAAAATCACCGCCGGAGAGAGAGGCTTTGCTTTCCACTCCCCGGGCTTTGTTTTCTCTGAAGATCCCAGATCACTCGCCGCTCCCCAGGCTTAGAAAGGTCCGCACCAGCAACCAGCTCAGGTTTTGGGTTGTTTGAGTGGGGTTTTTTTTGCAGATCTATCTGTTTTACACTGGCAGCGGGAGCCAGGCTCTGCGATGGAGGGGTGGGGGCTGCAATGCTGGCGACCTCCCCCAGCCCTCTGCAAGTCTCATCCATCCTCCTGGTGTCAGAAGCGAGACTGCCTGGGTGGAGCAGCTCTTGTGGTGCTGGCCAAGCAGCTGAGGAGCTGCAGTTCAGCTCGCGCTGATGGTTGTCTGAGGTTTCCTTCCTTGTGGGTGATCTAAAAATAGCAGGCTGGATGGCGTGGATCCTAACGGCTGCCGTGGCCCCTGTTAGCTATCTGGAAGAGCAACTTGGCTTCGCTTATTCAAGTGTAACGTTTGAAAAGAGTCTGGCTCTCCCCACGTTGAGCAGATCTGCTGGAGCCAGAGCTCCTGTTGCCCCAGTGTGGGGCAACTTGCCCCCACACAGGTCCTAACGGGCTCTGGCTTCCTCACCTACTTTCCTCTTCCTTGTAATGCACCAGAAAATTGTTGCTTTGGAGATTTATTTGGGGCTGAGCTTTGCAGGGTCGTTGGCTTTCACCCAAAGGCAGAGGTTTTTGGGGAGGGGAAAAGAGGCCAATTCATTGGCCTCGGACGTTTAGCGTGGAGGGTCGTGGCCCCAGTCCTGTCTGGCTCTGACCACCCAGGGCTGAGAGTGGATCGGCTGCTGGGCTCCAGCTCCCTGGGGAATGAGGGGTCACAGGTGGGCCAGGACCCTCCTGGATTACGCCTGGAAAAGCGGAGGCTCTTGGAAAAGACTCTTCGTTGGAGGGTTGTTTTGGCGGGACTTTTTTTTGGAGTGGGAGGGTGGCTAGTAGAAATCCCTATGTCTGAGTGGTCCCAGGGTAGTGATGCACAGTGAGAGCGAGTGAACCCAAACTCTGCCCTGCAGGCTGATGCATTTATGAGTACAGCCCTTCCCAGGCAAAAATCATGAGGTGCTGGCACTGAAGAGAGGGTGTACCCCTTCTGGGGTCACTGGTTTTGTACTGGGATGTATGGGAGCGTTCCCCAAGCACACCTCCCTGGCTACCGCACCCTGGTTTGGACAGCGCTTTCTCAGTGGTAGGATGCTATTGCACCATTGGAGGGATGGCTGCAGGGTACCAGCGCTTCTCCCCGGGGTTAAATCGCTCCATTCCCTTCATCACTCTTTAGACCGAGACGCCATCAGAGCTGGCAGTGGGAGGAGAGCTGCGCTGGCTGAGCCATCCCAGGTCCGCTCCTCTCCTACCTCTGAGGCCTGTCTGAGCATGCAGTTGGTGGCTTTGCAGGTAAACGAGCATGGGCACCCTTAAAACCCTTGAGCTCGCAGCAGGTTTCTATGCTGTGCTCTCCATCCCTGTCCTCCAGGCTTTGCCACCTGAGTGGCGAGGGCAGGAGGGGAGGTGGAAGGGGCCAGTGCCCCCATGGTCTTCCCCCCGCTTCCTCTCACTCCCTTTCTTCCCTCGGGATGTGTTTATGCAGTTGTTTCCCTGCCATTGAGTTCGGTTTCCTTCAGATGCTGGTTGATTAGTCAGGAAAGCCATGTCCCACTTCCGCAGCCCGTTCCCAGCTCCAGTTTTTATTTAGCTGCTTTGTTCTCTAGTTACGTAAGGTCAGCTGCCCTCGACGCCTTCTCCAAACACAATGAGTCGGGGCCAGCCCAGCCCAGTGCTGGCTGGGAGACCCGACATCTCTCCTCCCTACCTGCTCCGGCTGCCCTGGGAGAGGGTGGCTGGGTGCTGACCTCCGTGAGTCTCTCCTTGGTTATCTTCTGCCCACTTTTCAGGGACAAGGTCTGCAGGGCTGTGCCCAAGAGCTCCCTGATCCTTGGGGTGATGGTGCAAGCACCCACCAGGTTTGTACGATGGGAATCCATCTGCTTGCTTTGCTTTGAGAGTGTTTTGCCAACTGTGTAGAAGTTGGGACAAGTAGCAGATGACCCAAGAGTGGTTGTCACCAAGGCCGGCAGGTTGAGGGAGGTGACTCTGCCCCTCTACTCCACTCTGGTGAGACCCCATCTGCAGTACTGCGTCCAGCTCTGGGGTCCTCAGCACAGAAAAAACATGGACCTGTTGGAGCAGGTCCAGAGGAGAGCAACGAAGATGATCAGAGGGATGGAACACCTCTCCTGTGAGGAAAGGCTGAGAGAACTGGGGTTGGTCAGCCTTGAGAAGAGAAGGCTCTGGGGAGACCTTATTGCAGCCTTTCAGTACTTGAGAAAGATGGGGACAGACTTTTTAATAGAGCCTGTAGCAACAGGATAAGGGGTAATGGTTTTAAACTAAAAGAGGGCAGATTCAGACTAGGTATAAGGAAGAAATGTTTTACAATGAGGGTGGTAAAACACTGGCACAAGTTGCCCAGAGAGGTGGCCCCATCCCTGGAAACGTTCAAGGTCAGGTTGGACGAGGCTCTGAGCAACCTGATCTAGATGAAGATGTCCCTGCTCATTGCAGGGGGATTGGACTAGATGACCTTTAAAAGTCCCTTCCAACCCAAACTATTCTATAATAGCATAGGTGCAAGCCCTCCGGCCTAGTCTCCAGCTCTGCTCTGCATGGGAGGGGAAAGCTCCCTCCAAAAGGATGCCGATGCCATCTGCCACCTCATACAGGGTAGCTCTTGCACACATCTCTTCCTTCCTTTCTCTGCAGCTTTGTAAGGAGAAGCGGTTACGACCCTTTGTTTCACAGGAGGCACTTTCCTCTCCGACTCAGTCTGGTCTCTCCTGCCTGGCTTCCTGCCGGAGGTCACGGGGATGGTGGCGTACCTTCTGAGCACCTCATGCTATAGGATGTTTACCAGGAGGCTAACTCCATACATGGGTGCGCTAACACACCCCGGGTCATTGGTTTCCACCAGCAGTCTGGATATCCCAGGAGTCAGTAGATTACTCCAGAGGAGGCTGCTAAAAGTCCCTGGAAAACATAGTCTTGAGTTCAGACCTGCTGTATCCCCACTGGAGAACATGCAGTGCTCCAGAGCCTGGACCGAACTTGTGATGTCCTGTGATAGGGGTTTCCTATTGACAACTCTTTGAAGGATTTTGTTCTCAGTGAGCCAAACTACTCCCTTTACGTTGTCTGTCGCTTCATTTGTGTAATCATAGGTCTGCAGAGATGGCAGTGTAGGACAAGGTCCCACCTCCAAATGGTCTGGAAAATGTTAGGGCAGCCTCTGAAAGCACCAGGCGAGAGTCTGTAGGGTGCAGGGGGGCCATGAAAGGTAGGAAAGAAAAGCTGGGCTGTTGTCAGATGGCTCAGATTTGCTAAACTGGCAAGGATTAAAGGGAAACCCCTCCATACTCATCCTCTCCACAGAAGGCAAGGAGACAGCTGATGTTGCACAACAGACTGCTTGCTCTTGAAGGAGCCAGTTTCCAACAGCTTTCACAGGATCAGGAGTGCAAAAGCAGGGAGCAGAGGAGCCAAGCAAGCAAGAGAGGAGAGACCTGTTGCTCCTGAGTGCTCCGAGCTCAGCGCTCTGGTTCCTGATGGTTGGTGGCTCTGCCATCTCCTTCCCTACAGGCAGTAGGAACTCCCAGTTGTGCAAGAGGGCTGACTTTCAAAAACGCTATTCTGCCTCTTGGAGAGGCGGGGAATTAGAAGAAAAGGGTGATTTCAATTTTTTCCTGGATGCTCTGCAACAGTGGTGCTGGGATGCTGTGGAAAACCCTAGGAGAGACCATCCAGACCATAGCCGTAACTCACCTGGCATACCTTCAGGTTTAGATCCCTCCTGAGACGGTTACAGCACATGGCTGGCCGGAAAGGTTGGGGATTCCCAAACAAAAGCCAGGATTACTGGTCTGTAGGGGCTGATGCAGGAGAAGTCAGTGGTGTAGGTAAGATCACTCCTAGCCAAACACCCCCTGTGTAGTTACTGTACTGGGCTGCCTCGGTTTCCCCAAGATGTTGCAAGGAATATTGGTGCAGAAATGGCCTGGCAAAGCCCACTGCTGCTCATTCCTGC